TTCCCACGGATCCGCGCCAAAGAAACACCACATGCGCTTTGCTCCAAAAACAATATCCCGATATTTACAAATCCTTGGTAAAATAGACTACGACCCTCCCATATGCGTATTTCAACATTGAATTAAATAGATTAAATAGAATCCATCAATGCATCATCCTTTGTACCAATAACAAAAATATTGTTGTAATAAAAATTTCATAATAGTTCACGTGAGAAAATCAATTGCTCGACCAATCGTTTATCTCAATAACCATTATATAATACGCGAGTGGAATGATCAATTTGCGATTTGAACTTTTTGTTTATTGTCTTGTCCTCCACCACTAGTTTTCTTTGCCAAGTTGAGCTGACGTCTTCTCCTCACAAAAGTTAAAACTTTTTCTTTTCGCGTAATCACGAAGCATCAAGGTGTGTTGTCCTCGAGATGGTTAAACAAAAAAAGGCCGTGACAAGTAAAGGGGACGATAGTAAGAAAGGAATTAAAGATGATGGTATGAAAAATCAAAGATTGTGTTACCGTTGCTCGTGAAATTCCACTTTATCGGACGACAAATGTTTGAGAGCTAACGAATTGTTGCGCTGAAATTATTGACGCGTAGCTGAACAAAAAGTGTTGGATTATCTAAGAAAACAGAATCGACCTTACAGTGTCAGTATCCTTTTTAGTCTTCGGAGTTCGGTTGTCCTCTAAACACCAATCAATCACGTATTATCGATTAACGTGCATTGTCTACAGCCGATATTTCGAATAATCTTCACAATGCCATCACGAAGGCAGCCATCCAGAAAGCTTTAACAAATCTCGTGGATAAGGAAGAGGTCGGTTGTAAAACTTATGGGAAGCAATCGGTTTACGTGGTAAAACAGGTGAGAATCACCAATTCTCGTGACACCTTAAAATAAGTTGATTCCATGTTGTCGCTGTCGTCCGTGATGATTCAACAATGATAATAATAGTAGTAATAATAATAATAATAATAAGGATCAATTTGAATCTCCTTCACCGGAAGAACTGAATGAGATGGACGTGAAGATCGAAGAACTTAAGAAAGAGGTTAATGATTACAAGGATCGAAATAAGCAATTACAATCAGGTAAGTGTGATATATTGTTGGTTCATATCTATGACAACACATTTGAGTCACTTACTCTATTTATTATAAACTAGTATTGAATGGCTTAAATAATTCATT